TGGATTTTGAAGGGGCAGAGGAACTCGAGACCAAATTGCTAACATGCGCTGGATTATGGAGAAAGCCAGAGAGTTCCAGAAAAACATCTACTTCTGCTTCATTGACTATGCAAAAGCCTTTGACTGTGTGGACCACAGCAAACTATTATTTCCTTAAAGAACTGGGAGTGCCTGACCACCTTATCTATCTCCTGAGAAAACTATATGTGGGACAGGAAGCAACATTTAGAACTGGATATGGAACAACTGACTGGTTCAAAATTGGGAAAGGAGTATGATAAGGCTGTATATTGTCCCCCTGCTTATTTAAATGACAGCAGCCCACACACTGGTTTTGTTCCAAAGGCAAACTACATAATCCATGGAAGACTGGAAAACAATAATTTTAAGTCACTAGAATGTCCCAACAATATTCCTGTCCAGTGACAAGCATAGCAGTGACCTTAGCATTCCTGTGACCTGTGTACTCTGCTAGAGATCAAGGCAAGGGATTGCTGAGCTATAGAAGTACATCAGAGAAGCATTGGTTCTTTGTAAATCAGTATTTCTGAACAGTGGGAATCTTGATGTTACTGGGCTATAGCTTCCACAAACTCTGCCCATTTGTTGTGATGCTTAAGGCTTTCTGAGAGCTTTATGCCAGAAACTTCTCAAGTGCTATCATGTGGACAGACCTAGTTCTCATGGGGGGTTATATGGGTGTCTTCTTTCTGGGAAAGATTATGGACACAAGGATATAGTGTTAAGTAAAAACTTCAGTGCATACAAGCTGCATTTATTTTGAAATCATTATTTTTATATTTCTCCTGTTTAATAGGAAAGGTATAATTAATTTATTTCCAAAGCTCTGTCAAAGATGTCCGGCCTATTTATTTTCTAGTACTTGCTTCCAGTAAAGCTTTAATTACAAATGGCAGGAATGTATTTAGAGGACTTCTGCAGGCATTACACATAGTCTACCATTCATGTGCCCCTCATAAAATAAGCACTAAGCTTCCAAGGATGTCAATACTCTTCTGATACACGCAGGAAATGATGATAAGAAGAAGAAAAAACAAAGACAATAGTAAATGCCAGCCAAGCTCTATCAACTGGATATAGAACTGCATCTGCAAGGCCAATAAGTAGATACTATAAAATACCACAGACACTTAGTTCCAGTAAGAATACTCAGTGATTATTGTTCATGCAGCAATGATAAAAAAGTAGTTTTAAAACAGTTTTAAATTCCCCTCCAAGTTTGTTCCTCCTTACCTCTAGATTCATATAAATAGTACTAACTGCTACTTTTATTTCTCCATCTGATACTTCTTTAAGATCCTTTAGCATGGCCTCCTCAAGACTTAACCCTGTGGAGCAGATAGGAAAATAAGTATCAGCAGTGAGTATCAGTAGTCTGATACATAGTTTATAAAATTAGGTTTGAGAAGAAAATTAGACGTTCATGTATTCAATGTTTTGATTGTATACTAAGCAAAACAAGGTACAATCCATCTATTTATAATGTAAAGGAAAGAAAGTGGGGAGGAGCACTCTGGTTGCTTTCATCTGAAGAGAAAGATGATAATTCTTTATTGCTGATTTAACCACTTTGGTTATTCAACCACTATTAACATTGCAATTAAAAAAGAAATAGAAATATGTACACCTGCAGAGTGTTAGCTTGACAACATGATGCTAGCAAGTTACGAAGTACCATAAAAAATACATACAAAATACTGGATTAAAGCAAAATACGAACATTAAAATGAACACCCAATTTCAAAAAATTAAGACGTTTGCATTGACCATATGGACCTTTACATATTTTCCTCTACTTTTAGGCAGCTACTACAAAACATGCTACAAAAATCTATGAGATGAATCTAGAATGACTGAGTTTAAGTCAATTTAACATTTGCAAAACTGCCAAAACTAAAAAGCAGCAAATATACAGTAAAAAACTGTGTTGGAAATGTCCATATGGGCCAGAATTCTACTAGGGTTTTACTTCAAAGGGTTACAGCCGAGCACGCAACACACATCTTGTTGATTTGCTGTACTATGCCACCTATTTATGCAATTTCACATTCTATGGAGTAAATCCCAATACTATTCTGGCCAACTTTTCTATTCAATGAAAAACAAATTTCTGCCATGTAAATGATAGTGTTACAAAGAGCTCGGAGATGCAATTAGCATCTACAACAATCCAACATTTCCTCTGTAAGTGTATTGTTGTATTTAGTGCATACACAGGTCTGATTCTTGGACTTGTTTTCAGGCTATGGATTCACTGAAGTATCACTCACTAGAGGGGGAGCTGAATTAGCAGGGACCCTACCAGCCAGTTTCTGCAATTCTGGTCTCTGTGAATATATAACCTGTAAATATAATCAAGCATCAATTGGGCTAATACAATATTTAATAGACATATATATCATACACACAATACATAATACACATAAAACTGAGAGGACATAACTTTTTCCAGAACTGGAAACACTCAAAGCCTAGTTTTCACAAAACAGCAGAAAAGAGTGAGAAAATGAAAGAAACACTACCGTTTGCATGACGATGAGCTTCCTGAAGGACAGTAATAACATCCTCTCGTGGCAGCAGCTCTGGGAATTTCTCTTCCAACATTAGCAGCACTTCTTCCTGTTCTTCAGTAATTCTTACAGAATCTTTGGCCATCACTTTAGAAAGGATGCTCGCTGATGCATGTAAGTGTAAAAGTTAGGTCAGAAAAGGAAAAAAAGAAACTATAACAATTTAAACAACCCTAACATTCCTAAGTATTTAAAAAATAGCCATTATTTTATTTATTTTTAGTTTTTTCCTCTTTGCAACACGCTACCACAATAGCAAATTTCTTCAGCTTGCATATTTTTATATACTCTTGCTTTTGCCATTTCTCCCTGCCATCCCTATACAAAGTATTCCTTTTAACCTGGGCAATCTCAAGAATAAAAATAATTGTATTCTGTCAAGTCGATTCTGGCCTGCTGTGACTTCTGCCATGTACAGCAAGGACAGAAGTGGTTTAGCATTCCTTTCTTCTGGGGGCACCTGAAATGTCTTTCTTCCCAGTTAGCATCTCCCTTATATGGTTGTCCATCTGTGGACCAATGCTGACAAGTTCACAAAGAAGTGAATTCCAGTTTCTAGTGATTGTTTGTACATAACAATAATTACATACAAACACAGCTCAGTTCATTGGGAACAAGGAAAGCCCATATAATGAAATTCTTGGTGGCTATTGCCTTCTAAGTGCCCACCTACATTGGGTCAACAATTGGTATACAATATGATAAGGAGCAGAATATTGTATTTTAATACACACCACAAGCAAAAGGTAGCCTTATAGCCATAAACCTGAACATATTTTTGTGTGTTTTTGTTTGCCTAGTAAAGGACTGTGGAAATGGACATGGACTGTGGAAATATAAAATATGTTGTACTTATGTTAAACCACTTGCCTAAAATTGAAAAGCCACCTTGTAAAGCAGCACAGGTTCATTAGTTTAGAATTAAAGCTGACTACAAGATCAGCACTGATTTGTAAGCCTAATTGTACAGGGGGAAAAAGATCAAGAAAGTGATGGTTCAGTAAAACTACAGTAAAATTATTTGATTAATTTTATTTTAATTTATCACTTGTCAAACACAGTGTAATTAAACAATTGATAACAAAGTAAACAATAATTGTAAAACAGCCTTTTTAAAATCAATTCAGTGAGATTTATCTCTTAGTTAAATTGAAAGATAAATGCTGGCACTATATCAGCTAAATGCAGTATTAGATCTACCTAGATCGAATGGGACTTTTTAGGCATACCTACATTACATCTCATAGATTTCTATGGGCCCACTCCAGGTGGAACTAACATTTAGTCTGCCTATTGTAACATCATCATCATCATCATCATCATCATCATCATCATCATCATCATCATCATCATCATCATCATCATCATCATCATGCAAACTGAAATTTATTTTTAGAAGGGAAAAAAAACCTTTCTGGAGAACGTAATCAGGTATGCCGCCAAAAACAACAAACTAATTTTACAATTCAACCATATTCCCATCCAATATATCTTTAAAAAAAAAGCATTTGTGATTCTTAGATTGAAGACAAAGGGAAAGAAAAATGGATTTAAAATATCAAGGCGTGAGAGATGTCCCGTTCAGTCTTTGCTCAGACTCTCCAGAATAAGCAGAACAGATGATTAAGAAGCAACCGTTTTATGCAGAGTCTAATTGTACCATTTCAGTATGGTTTATAAATGCTTTTTGAACTAGGGAAGATCTTCCAAATCCAGGGTCCTGCTTCCTGCCAATCAGATTCTTATGTTTCCAGGAAACTTTTAAGCAGTACTTGGAGGTAGTAGTTCTCTCCTGCTATTGTTCACCATCATTCAGAAATACATAGCATAAGGCGCAATGAAAAGTAGGTTCACCTTCTAGTTTTTCTTGAATAACAAGAACACCTTGAAGAGTTAAAGACTGGGCCTGAGGCATGTGAGTCAAGATCCCCTAAATGTTAGTGCACAAGAGGGGGAAGCAACAAGATGGTCTGTTAGTGCACAAGAGGCTCATGGTCAAAGGAACGCACAAGAACTTAATCTCATCATTTGGGGTGAGGTACACATACACATACACAAACACACATCACTCAGATCACAGTTCATCTCCACATTAGTGTCCTTCCTTAAACAGGATAAGAATACAATTAATGCTGTCCCCTGTAGCACAGACCCAAATTGCTAAAGTCAACATGATCCTTCAGAAAATACAAATTGAACTGCTTCCATTGTTATGGAAGTTCTGCAAAAGAAGTTATGGTACTTCCAGGCAGTTATTTCACATTATTGAGATTCTCTGGTGTCTCTTTCTTGCAATTCCAAAATGCAGGTTCCTCTAACCCAGTTTCTTGATCATGCTATGACTGGAACTTATACTGATGAGTCTCATCTTCATCTCTGTGATGCCAGCTCTTCTTGATCTAGCAAAATGCCAGTACAGTACAGTACTAGAAAAATCTGTTATCCCTGTGTTGTAAATTTAGCTTTGCACTATAAGCATATACCGTACATTTTTTAAAAAAATCATAGTTTTCAGTTGTTCTTTACAAAAATCATATCAAAACTGATGATGTCGATGTGGGTTTAATTTCTTTTATGTTCACCACCCAGAGTAGTGAGCTTTCACTAAATCAGGTGGCATATATATCAAATTATCAATAAATGCAGCTGCATGCAAAATCAGTTTCTTCGAAATGTTTGATATCAGCATGGATTAAGCATGACACCCTTGTAACACAATTATTATTATTATTATTTGTTTATCTTGTGACATACACAGAATTGGTTGTTTGGGGTATAAAAGAGGGCACATCGCCCTATGAAACTCTAAATGTATATGTCAATATAACATACACAGATAGATGCAAAATACTGTACTGGTGCATGCTGTGATTATGCTAACATACCACTACACAGTTCCCCACTCCCAGCAAACACTCTTGGAAATACCCAGATATGCCTCCAATTATTCCATGCAGGTAATATAATCATGTACATATTCACGAGGACTAGAGGTTGAAAATGGAAAGCGTATAGCTGTGAGCAACCACTGCCTTTGGGAATCCCACAGCGAGACTGAGTCAGTACGGCTTTGCAATTCTCAAAAGCTAGCACACGCTATACCTTGGCTGCAGGCAAAAAAAAGTGCAATGGAGAAGGCACACCAGTATCCTTGGATGAAGGACAAAGGTGCTTAAGCACTTGGATTTGCTTTCCTGGTTTTGAAAAAAATCCACTTCATTAGAATGAGGTCTGTAAAAGGTAAATTATGCAACCTGCTTAACCTTTATGACCATATAAGAAAATGAAGAACTATGCTATCATCTGTCTTGTAAACAAAGGATTTTTTTTTCTCCTCTTAGATTGGGAAGAAAGCCCAGTTCAACTCCTTGAAGGGGAACTTTTATAATAACATACTTGATGAACTGTAAAATAACAAATGAACCTCCATTACTTCATTATCTCTTTCAATAGATGGCATTTGGGGATTTGCCCCTAATTTGTGCCATGAATCACAGTGAATATTGTCTTACTTGAATTTGCCTGTGTTTACATGTTACAATCTGTGCACCTTGTGGCATCCTTCACAGCCTTATACAAATAAACAGAAGGAGGTGAGAGCATACTGACCCCAGATACCTGACAGTTTTCTAAATTTACATCCTTGCCAGATGCCTCCAGCCAAAAATGCAATGATTCAGCAATCTAATGGGTCTTGATTTTGGCAACAGTCCCCTAGTAAATACCTCCAGGGAAATAAAATGGTACAGACTCAATTCTCTGGCAGGTTTTCTAATTGTTTGCTTCTGGCATAAGCCCAGAAACGGAACAAACCTTGACTAACAGTATAGTCTGTGATGGTTGAAGATATTGCTAAAGTCTGCTGGGAAGAATTACTTTATTTTGAACATGTAGAAGTCGCAAAAATATTAAAGAAAAGCAGGGCATTTATTTAAAAAAAACAAAACCTTAAAGATGAAGCTACCTAACAAAACCATTATTTTCTTTGCAACAGGTATGTTTACTTTTGTTCTTTTTCAATCGCTACTAGTATCCATTCCTCTATAAATCCCATCTTTACTTTTTTCGGGGTGACAGTGGATTTGCATACTTTTTCTGCCTGCATGGATTTGAATGGTTGACACAGGTTACAATAACAGTATTTTTTTCTTTAATTTTTTTTATTAAAATAAAAACAAAAGTGCCAAGCTAACCAAACCAAAAATCAACAAAAAACATACATAAAAAACAAATCTTAAAAAACCTGATTTAGTTATTAAACATATGACTCAATCTGCCCCCCCAGAACCCACTGGGACCATTAGAGATACTCTGTTTTCCTTCCCCTTACAGAGCTCTGTTCCCCTTCCTAAAATACTTTAATATCACACATTGTAATTGATAGCCATATTCCACATTTCTTGACACCATTAATTTAGAGATCACACTTAACTTTCCAGTTCTTTGCTATTACTGATTTAGCCACTGTTACTGCATTTGTAATCATTTTTTTCATTGTCCAATTCACTGCTCACTCTCAAGTATCAATAAAAGTACTATTTTAGGTACAGTAACATGCTTTAACCCTCATATTGCTATAATAACTTTTGGTCAATCCTGAACCCCAATGAGCTTATGTTCCTTTTGATTAAAAGGACTTTGTCTAGAAGTCCAAATAAAGTAAAGTAAAACAAAAAGCTGCTGGTGTCTTAGAAGGTTTAATGTATGACTGGCATGGGTGTAGCATGTTCCAGTATAGCAACTGGAAACACACAAAAGCCTTCACATACTGGGGAGCCTCCCCCTGCCCTGGATCTAGCTGGCCATAGTCCCTATTGAGGCATAGCCCCTTATGGATGACTGGTCTCTCTCTCCCAGAGTAGAGGGACTATCAAGATCTGGGCACCCTGAAGGGTTTTTATATTCTGGCCTCCACACATTCAAACTGATAAAGAGGAATGGAAAACAATATCCAGCCCCTCTAATCCAGGGGATGAAAACTTTTATATAGTGAGTGGTACAAACCCTTTCTCTGACATAGCTAGCATGTTGTCACATTGATAACACACATTACTGTTAGAACAGGCTTAAAAGTATAGGATGTGAAATGCCATTTCTTCTGTGTTCATGCTTCCCACTAAGCTTCCATGAAACATGGTATATATGTGTTTTCTACAGCAAATTTCCAGTCAAATATATATGCACAGACATGATTGCTTATTCAAAGTTAGAGACAAAGTACCTAGGGGTCGGTGCCTTCTCCATTGAGCTCTGTGAACTTTCATGAGATATCTGATAAATCATTATCATTAGTTGAAGAATACTGGGTTAGATGGACCCTAACTATTTTTCCTGCTCAGATCATGACAGGACTGTGGGAATAGAAAGCATAAACATCACCTTGATGCATTGGAGCTAATACAGACAGAATGGAGGGCAAAGTTAAAGTACTGTTGCCTACATGTAGAGCAGAAGAGAAATCACATTAGCGATTGGTCATATATGTGACCATATAATGGGGAGCCTATGGGAGCGGGAGGAAAAGGGGGGAACTTGAACAATTTCCCTTCTGCTTCACTGCTCCACAAGCCTCACATTTATCTGGCAAAACATTGTGCAATTGTGTGCCTGGCATAACCTGGATGAGGTGCTGCAAACATTTAATTTACATTAATTAAAAGCTTTCTGGTTATGCCAGGCACAAAGGTATAAAACAGGATCTTGCCCACTGTTTTCTACAGCATTATTTTACAAAGGCCAAATGTTTCACAAATGTGGCTATAACCTATCCAACTCACATGCAGACATCTGCTCCTAACATTCCTGTCTAATGATACAGTAAACATTTCAGTTATGTCTACTTTTAAATGCACATTCTTAATATTCCACATAATGTTACTCTTTAACAAACTCTTTACACCCTGCTTCTTACATGTACCATCTCATGGTCTTTAAAGGGACTGTTAACCAAAGAATAGATTGTAGTCTCTTCCCACATGAGTGGCTTCAGAAACACTCCATTAAACCTTTCAGTATTTAAGAGAAAGAGCAATCTCTCACCTCTGAGGAGATGAGCCAGTTGTGGAGTGATTAACTCTGGTGTCTTTTGGAGAAGCTCTTTTGCAACTAGAGACGAAGTAGATTCTAATAACTCTGAGCTGCTGCCACATCGCTCTTCAGGGTTAATGACTCTGACAACAGCTGATTCCAAACTTTTTTCTTCACTGTAAAGCAGAAGTTTTGAAAGGTTTTTTTATCTCCATAATTTATTTGATCTAACCTCTCTAATGCAATACTGCATGCATCCAAAAGCAGTATTATTTTGAGTGAAATCAGTAATCAATCTCCTCCTCCACTCCATTATTGCAGAAGAACACTGTCTGACAGTTTGCCCAATATGGTTTCCTTAATCCTAACTTTAATTCTGTCACCACCTAGAAGGGTATTAAAGAACATGGGGTTTCATAAAGCATTTGGTACATGTCCATGCAAAGATCCTCTATTTTGTTGTTCAGTTCAAGATAAAAGCAAACATACAATTCGGGAGTGAAATCTCATGAAGTAACTCTACTTACAATTCCACACATACAAAGTAGCCCCTAGGCTTGATGTCTACATATACAGCATGAACTTCTTCAGAGATAATATCATCTTAGAACTGGAAAGGACCATATGGATCATCAAGTCCAGCCCCTCTCAAGGAGGCACAGTGGGGAATCAAACCCCCAACCTCTGGCTCTGCCTAAAGCACAGAGCTATCCAGCAGTTCTACAATAATCTTAGATCTGCAGAGCTGGAAAGGACCCTACGGATCATCAATAAAGTCTCTGCATTTGCAGCATTGTATGGGGAGGTAACCATGGAGGCTGGTAACATGTGATATGAAGGTTTCAGCTTGCATAGAAGAGTCTGCATGTACTGATGTATATGCAAAGACCTGCTCTTTGCAGACATTTATATGGTACACACAGATTAACATGGGGCACAGCTAAATTATACTATGTTGCAGTTTTATGTTTAACAATTCTGCTATCTAATATAACGGTTGGAACCCTTAGTGTAGTACATAAGTCACATTCAACTAGGCATCAAGTGCATCAGTCTTGGACAAAAGAACAAAAAATTTTAAAGGCAGCTAACAACTCTGTCTTACATATTTTAAGCTAGGCTGACTAATAATCAAATACAGAAAAGGATACCTTGTCAGCGTATTGCTGTTCAGAAGTGTGAGAGACAATTTCCCTTCACTGTTTAGCTGATTTAAATCAATTTCATCAAGGAAGACATACAGAGATTCTGGAACATTCAGCTCTTCCAAAATAACCCTACTTTCGGTGTGGTAGCAGAATTCTCTTCTTGGTATATTTAGTACAGGCAAACACAGATTGTCAGGTGGGCTGACCTACAGCAAGAGATTTCCTGGGAATTAGAAAGCACTCCAGCAGTGTGGACCCTTTCCCTTCAGTAACAAGCACTGAAAATGTTTGCACTTCCGTGAGTTCTTTCTTGATACGTGACACTTTCCCAACATGGGTGTGAGGTAATGGATACACATGTACATTATCCTGTGTGGGTCCAATGCATGTTTTTATTTTGATATATGTGTACATGTTTGGAAACATGGCTTTTGAAGAAGCAAGAAAAACACCATGCTGACATCTTATGATGTAGGAAAACTTATTTTGCTACAACAAGACGTGCATTAGAAGAGACATAATACATAAACCAAAGGAAAAGATAGCAAATCATATAAAAATGCTTTAAAACATTTTTATGTGTGCAGTTCTATTGGTGACTAAAGACTAGTTCAAGGGTCCTAAGAGTCAACATAGATGCTGTTCTACCAATGGTGTGGGAGCACATTGTCAGGGAAAATTCACACCATTACAGTTCATAACGCCATAAGCCTATTTAAATAAAAACAACAACAAAACCCCCTTAGCTGCTGCAGATACCATGGTTTAGAGAAAATTCAGAGGTATTGGAGTCTTTCCAAAGGGTATAACACTACAACTAAGCTAACCCTGAAGTAGAGTAGATTCCTTTCCACTGAAGCCTGCAGGAGGGGAACAGGAAAAAGACACATTACACATCCCAACCTGGCTATAGATAAATGACAGAGTACAACATGTGTCATAGCTCCACCATAGAATCTTTTCCCCAAGTTAGACACGATTACTGTGCCCAGCTCCAAATGTATATATAGAAACCTAGAAAGCAACTTTACTAAAAACAATGGCCAGAATCGTTCTGGCTTGTCTCATCACCATAGGTGTAATTAGCAAAAACTACAGCAGCACATTGCCACTAGTTAATGAGTTGTCATTTGTATACCTCATCACATATTAAACTATGTGACTTATATGGGATGAGGGATGCAAAAGAAGATTTTTTTTAATTAGTACCAGTTCAGCACTGCAATTTATGCCATTGCACTTATCTAATAAATAATAATATTCTGACCCCTGAGACTTACTTTTGAGTAAATTTATACAGAATCATATTATATAAACTGTGAGCAAAGCAAAAGATGGAAACAACACATTGTATTTCTAAATAAAAATAGGCAGTATATAAGCAGCACGCTTTGCTTTTGCTTTGCTTGCTTTAAAATAAAGGAAAATGTACATAAGATGAAGACAAAGGTTACATTCTGAGACTTAAGGCAAATTACATAACTGCAGCGTCTGTGCTACAGTTGTTGTTATACAATAAAATGTAGGAATTGAAGCAAGGATCCAAAATGAATTCCTAGCAAAAAAATCAGAACTTCTCTTTCATTGTTATTTTCTTATGACACCATAAATATGCTACAATAGAATTATAATAGTATAAAATATTTACCTTTTCAAGATAGTAAGCATATGTTAAAGCAGAAATAAGAGAATCCAAATCACAGGATGCCTTTCCAAGGACTACGTGTACTTTATCCAAGTGTTTATTTCGACTCTGAAACAGAAAATCATTTTTAAATAGTCAAAGATGCAAACATAGCTTTAGAAGAGCTAAACATCTCGCAAAAATTAATTAATCTCTTCCAAGACAACCTAAACACCTATGCCATTTAGTATTTATGGAATTAAAACTAAAGCAGCAAAGAAAATTCCACTCTGGGTATAAACAGAAGCCACCATTTCCAGCACAAGAACAAAATACACCAAGCCCCAGGATCATATACAAATTCTTCTTCAGTTCTCATTTTCAGGACTGGAAAAAACACTGAAAGAAGACACTGGATGCTTCTGTTCTTGGTTTTAAAGAAAACATTGTTTCCCCTTATACCTGAGCTGAGGTAACTATGGTTTGGTTGTTGTAGGTTTTTTGGGCTATTTGGCCCTTTTCTGGAGGTTTTTCTTCCTAACGTTCCACCAGTCTCTGTGGCTGGCATCTTCAGAGGACAGGAGTTAGAACTCTGTCTGTGTTCTGGTCTAGTGTGTGAATCTACCCACCCACAAGGACCGGTGATCACTGCACATGAAAGACTAGCTAACAACACCCATCAATCACACTGACAGATCATCTCCCCCGTTATCACACCAATACATCCATAACAAAAAACACCCTGATCACCATAATCACCCAATCTCTTAAAAAGGACAAAAGGCTGATCCCTCAGCTACAAACACTCAACTTTCCCACATACTACACCAGAACACAGACTGAGTTCTGTCTTCTGAAAATGCCGGCTACAAAGACTGGCAGAACGTTAGGAAGAAAAACCTCCATAACACGGCCAAACAGCCCGAAAAACCTGCAACAACCATCAGATCCCAGCCATGAAAGCCTTCAAGAATACATTACCTATGGTTTGTTTAAACTCTAGTAACTGAACAAACGAGGGTCAAAAACTATGATTTCATCCTGGCTTGTTCTTATCAAGTAGAGTTTGATCTCCTCTAAAGCATGAAAAGAGTGGAAAGAGAGGTGGCTGAGCTGGAGGCTTGTCATGTCATTTTCACTTTGAAAATTATTTAATGAGGAAAATAAACCCTTCATAATATAAGATACCTGTATTCTGATCAGAGATTTTAAAAAATCATATCATTTTGAAGTAAATTACTAATAGTCAACTTAGTTCCCTAGGTATTCATCCTTGTGCAGCCAAAACAGTTCCACAAGATGGAAGTAATAGCAGTCTAGGGAGCACCCAAGATTTGCAGGAAACAAAATAAAACAAAATTTTTAGGTGGAAAATCCTGGGAGTAGACTCAGAAAACACAGAGTGTGGTCAATGGACACAAAATACTCTCTGTTCAGTAAGCATGGAAAACTAGTGGGCAGGAACATGAATTTGTGTATCCCGGGAGGGGCAATGCTGTCTGGCTAGTGCTCCGAACAGGAATGCTTGCTGCAGTATTGTTGTTTGTAGATGCTAATAATGAACTCTGATGCTGCCTTATAAGCTGACAGACATGTAGCCATAACAGGACAACTGAGAAACAAAGTTGGCATTAGCAAAGTAAAGAGAAAGCATGGGTTGGGTGGGGTGGGGAACACATTCAAACCAATGGAAGCTAAGCACACATCATAACCACGGAGCACATTTTGAATGGATAGAAATCCAGGAGAGGAAATGGAATGGCATACCCTGAAAAAAAGGCATGACTGGCCAAACACTGGACAATAAGTACTAAACATTGCAACACTGATTGGAGATCCTATACTTAGTAATAATTAAGTAATAATTAAATACATACAAACTTTCTTATAATATCTTCTCATAATGCTTTTCTATATTCATCATCCTGTCTTCTTCCTAAACTTTCCATACTTGAATATTGAAGCCCCCCCACCCATTTTAACTTAAGAGCTTGACTACACAGATCAGTTGGAGTGGGCTGGATCAGGATAAATAAGGTTGTTTAGAGACCTGGTGTGCCATTTGGGACAATCCTTGCATCCGCCTGGAATACACACCTCAAGCAACTCTACTTGGCCCACTTCCCTTAAGAAAATAACAAAACCAACAAATCCTTCTTTTCTGGGAGGAACTTTTAAATATTTTTTACATTTATTCTAAGTTGTAGCACATCAGTGCTGCCTTAATAGACTTTAAAAAATACTTTTGTTTCCTTCTCAGCCCCTCCAAGGAGAAGCAGAGGAAGGATTTAATTTCCAAATATTGTTAGTCTGCTAAACTGTCTTCCT